GATAGATAGATAGATAGATAGATAGATAGATAGATAGATAGATAGATAGATAGATATCTCTGTCTTATATGGGTGTCCTGAGATGGGAGGCCTTCAGGAGATCCCAGCTCAGCAGGCTGGTCCAAAAAGTCAAAAAAGCATTCCAGAAGAAGGTAGTAACAAAGAGAGAACTGAGAACCAAATTTTCTGATTTTGAAATGCATGGATTTCAGCACGTAACTCATCCTTCAAGGATCATACGCCCTTTTCTTTACAGTGAGGTGTCATCAGCATTACAAAAATATTACTACAACGCTTAAAAAAAAAATACCTGGCAAATACAGAAGAGGTACTGTAAGGCTCTACATCCCTGATTAAAATCCTGTTATTGCAGGTAAAATTTGGCAAGACTAGAGGAAATAGGCCTTCATCATACTTAATTGATTTTCAACAAAACACACCATTTGCGTGTGAAGTTCTCGAATATCCCCAACTAAATGCTGGCAACTAGCTTCAAAGGCAGTGAAGTGGGTTAAAAAAATATACACCACTTTTGCCAGAGTTTAGTGTGCGATTCTGCATAACCCACAGTTGGGTGTAGATTCATAATCCTTAAGAAGCCTTCTGGAGGCCTGGATTTTTTGCTCAAACTATGCAAGCAAACCGCAGTATTAGCTATGGAAAAGCTCAGAATGTTAATACAATAGAAGATATTCTAATTTTACTTGATTACTTTTCTTACAAGACGTTCAGATAAGCTTGTAAGCAACCACAACAAACATCAACTGCTTTTTTTAAATCTAAAAACAACAACAGTAGAGAGAAACTGAAACTGAAGATAGGGGAAGGGGAAAAAAACTACTCAAAACCAAAATCTACGTGAAAACAAAATGTTCTCTTACCAGAATGCTGGTTAGCAGCATTCTCAACTACAGTAGCTGGGCCTTTGCAGATGATTTAACCAACAGTTCTCAACCCACACTGCCTGCAATCAAAATTAATGGAATTTCAAAATATTTCCAGAGGCCAAGATTGTAGAAAAACACCAAAAAGTCTCAAAGGTTGTGGGTGCACCATCACTGGAAGTTTTTAAGAAGAGATTGGATAGCCATTTGTTTGGAGTGTGCAGGGTCTCCTGCTTGGGCAGGGGGTTGGTCTAGAAGACCTCTGTTATTCAGTGTCCAAGCTTTTTATGCCAAGTGACAATGGAAGACGGTCCTTCATTGGGAGGCACCCAGAGTTTTGTATAAAATGGAGAGACAGAGACAGAAAGCATATGGTGGCTGAGGAATTCGGGGGGTTGGAAGTCCACATATCTTAAAAAATTGTTGAGGTGGAAAAGCACTATTTTAAAGGATTACTACTATCCAACCTGTAGAGACTTCTGAATTCCTAGCTGGTAGGTAACAAATGCAGTTAGGGATCTGTTTACAAACTCTGACTGCTGCCCTATTCAGAGATGACTGAATTAGCTTTTTCTCCAAGCTCAAGAAGGGTTATAGAAACTGTTTAGAGATGCTACAGAATAGTGCTTGCTGGTCCAGCTGTTGGCAATGAGCAAGAAATCTAACCACACAACTTTCAATTTTATGGCAACTGCACTAGCTACTAGTAAGTTTCCAGCTCTAATTTTGACTGTGATTGGGTGGAAACTTTTGTTAGTTTGTTTTGATTAGAAGGAACATCTTTCCTCATATAACTGACTGGGGAATTCTGGAAGTCCACACTTTTTCAAGTTGCTAAAGTTGAGAAACTCTGGTTCAAATCTGATATCTCCAGACCATCTGTTGCAATGCAATATTTCCTTAATCATTAACAGCTTTGCCCTCAATTGCTGGTTCCTTTCAAGCCTGCTATGTTGCATGAATATATTTTTTTCAAATTTTATCAGTTATGGTTCTATGACCTCATTTCACCAAGGACCTCAGTTGTTAGGCACCCCAAATTTCCTCGCTTTCATGATGAATAAAAAAGTAGATCACTGACCAATGTAGTTTCCCAAGATAAATTATTTTGGCAACTTTTCTAAGTTTTCTGCCACAGAAAGTAGCAACAGCAACAAAAAAGAATTTTTTAAAAATACACAAGATGGACAACTTTAAGTAAATGTGTTCTACAAAAGACCTTTCCTATGTCTGGCAAAACATGTTGCTCTCTATAAATTGCAGAGAGCATTTCATAAAAAAAAAAACACAATTTCCCAGCTGAAATAATACTTTTTAAAAGCAGTCACATTTTTCCAAACCTTGACCATATGATCTGCCTCTGACCAAGTAATTTTGAAGCATTCCGCTTATTCTAAATGTAATTACTTTCAAACAAAAAACCTTATACAGCATTTTATAAACTAAAGGAAATGTTTGCTAAGACATTGGAAATATGTGAGGAGTGTACATACATGTCATGGTGGAATAAAATGGCCAATTTGCAGCAGCAGCTTCTACAACTTTCTATGTCCCCTAAAAATGGCAACGTATTATAGGTAGTCCTTGGGGGAATCAGAATTTCTGTTGCTAAGCAAGGCGGTTGTAACACAAGTCACACCTGACTTTTATGACCTATTTGCCATCGTTGTTAATCAAATCGCTGCAGTGGTGGAATTCAAATTTTTTTACTACCAGTTCTGTGAGCGTGGCTTGATAGGCATGGCTTGGTGGGCATGGCAGGGGAAGGATACTGCAAAATCCCCATTCCTTCCCCACCCCACTAACCTGCTTTCCAGCTCCGTTCTCCTATTCAGGGCAACCAAAGAAGACCCAGCCGATCAGCTGGGACTCGGGAGGCAGAGAATAGATGGGGGCAGGGCCAATCAGAGGTGGGATTTGCCTGTTCTCCAAACTACTCAAAATTTCTGCTACCAGAACTGGTCAGAACCTGCCGAATACCACCTCTGAATAGCTGCAGTTATGAAGCGAATCATGCGGTCGTTAAATGAACCCCTCTTCTGCTTGTGGGAAGGTCACAAATGGGAATCGCCTGGATGGCACAGCAGGTTGAAAATACCTGCTGGTGAATACCAAGCATCCAAATTTTGATCACGTGACCATGGAGATGCTGGGACGGTCACAAGTGTGAGGAACGGTTATAAGTCACTTATTTTTCAGTGCCATTGTAACTTTAACGGTTGATAAACAAATGGTCATAAGTAAAGGACTACCTCTGTTGGGCATTTCCCTGCATCTGATCAAAATTATGTTGGGATGCTGCTGGAAGTTAAAACCCACCCTTCTCCTAGAGAAATGAAATATTTTAGGATATACTAAAAAGGCGGAATATTTCCCCTAAAAGATAAATAGAAACTCAGAGAGGCAGAAGCTCCCCCCCCCCCCCAACACCTTTGCTAATGGGCCATTAAGGCCTGGGCCAGTCTATTCTACATAACAAAGATCTACCTCCTTCAGGCAGACCCATAATAGGAGTTGCCCAAAGCCCTTTCATTACATCATCACCCTGCAAGGCTCAACCAAGCCTGGGACTCAGGACAGACTACAGAGTTGCCCCTGCATGGCCCCATGGGAGTCTGACAACCAATCAGAATACAACCTCAAATTCAAATCCCAACAGAAGGCATAATAAAACCCAGGGGCTCTCAGCATCTCTCAGCCCAAGAGCTCCAAGGCATGTGATCCTATCCACCATTAAACCATCTTTCCCCACTTGGAACTGAACCCAGAAGGACATTTCTTCCAACAATGCAACCCAAACTATCAAGATTTCATGGGGCTGAACAACTCTACTTACCAACGGCAGAGGCATTCTGGGTATCGACACAGGGCACAGAAAGCCAGCAAGGGATAAAATGGCCATGGAGACACAATCGCTGCCTTTTGCATACACGATTCTGTAATAATGCAAATATGAAAGGGAAAAGCCTGCATGGTGACATCACAATGCACATTTGATGGCTTTGGCCTCATTATT